TGCGATTCGATGAACGAGGTTGAACTACCCCGACCCCGTGTGCCGTGCTGGAGGTGAGAGCAGGGGGACGCGCGGCCCTTCCGCCGCCCCGGCCGTGGTGCAGCCCCCCTCCGTCTGGCAGTGCAGCGGCCTCTGCTGCAGGGCAACTCGATAAAACATTCTGGTCGGCCGTGCTGCGGTGAGGAGAGAGGGGGGGGGGGCACGGGGTACGTGTGGTCTTGCGGTAAGCGAAGGGGAGGGGAAAGGGGGGGATGGAGGTCTGAGAGCAAGAGGGGAGGCGGAAAAGAGGAAAATTGCAGGGAGGCAGGCGCTTAGCAGCGGAGCAGTGCGCTCGGCGACGCACTGCCTCCGATAGTGCACTTTACGACCGAGTGAGGCGTGATACATCAAGCACGCGACACTCGACATGACGAATGCATATCGTTAAATAAATGACACGGTAAACGAAAGGTGTACTAACAACGCTAATAATCGAAGTGTCTCTTGAATAAGATTTTTGGCACATTTGGAACATTTTACACAACTGAAACTAATAAAACATGAAGTAACAAATGAGCGAGCAAATGTGCTTATTGCTTTAACTGTTTTTTTTAGCAGAAACATGCTGTTTGGCCAGTGCGTCTTTCAGCCCCGGATGAAATGATTTATAGATGAAATCATATATGATTTCATATATAACTCATTTCATCCGGGAGCCCTATTTCGTAGTAGAAAACCGAGGAAAATTGCACATGACCACCAACAGCTGTCCGTGAGAGTGTGGCGGTGAGCTAATGAGAGTGACATGTCGAACCGAGAGAATGGGGGATGGGCTTGGGCTCGCATGACACCCCCAGGGGAGACATGGGGTAGACCACAGTGATAAATGCCCCTCCAGCCGGGTACCCAGACCCAGGGATGATGGGTGGGGAGGTGTGTGCGTGCGTGCGTGCGTCTGTGTGTGTGTGTGTGTGTGTGTGTGTGGCAGGGGGGAGATAGCGTGCAGTGTTTTCTTCTCAAGACGGCGCAGCGCAGATTTCTTCTTCTTTTTCTACCCCTTCACTCGCTCACTCTTCTTCCATTCCGAAATGAGTTTGCTGCTTACTTAACCAGGAAGGCCGCTGGCGGCGGCGTGCACCCTGCGGTTTCCGCATTCCTCGCTCTTTCTCAGAAAAAGCACTCACCTGCAACAAAGGAAGAGACGAGGTGATCGTTAGAGAAAAGTAAAAGAGAAGGAAGAAAAGCAAACTCCTTTTAAGACGGAAAAAAACAAAATTCATACGAAGAAGTGGGCCTGTTCAAATAGTGAGGTCTCCTTGTCACCGAATTCCCTCCCGCCCGCGACCAACTCGGTGAAGCAGCCAGAACGGAGGGAGGAAAAATTGCGAATGAAAGGTCGCAAAGGCCGAGGCCGAGGCTGGGGAACTGGGAGCCGCGCGCAGTTGCACTTATTGCTTTTACAAATATTTGCAAACTTGTTCTTTTTTTCATACGGGGGCGGCACAGGCGGCGAGGGTGGCGGGGGATCAGGGCCGCTAGGGGGAGGGGGGTCATACACCGCAGCAGGGCACGGCGAAAAAAAAAAACTCAACGAGGCAAATGAGATAAAAGGTAGAGAAAATTATTACGGCAGAAATGTACGAGAGAAGGTGGCCTCCGGAATCTCATAGCAAGAGTGAGAGTATAACTGTAGTAGCTAAAACACTTACAAATGCCGTGTAAACAACAATTCAGGCCAGCTGCGAAATGTTTAGTTGCACAGCAAATTTTAAGCAGCATAGTTGAATAATTAGGTATATTCTAATAGTCCAGCTACAGCTAATATTAGCAATATTTATTTTCCCTTTTCACTGGGTTTTAAAGAACAATACAGCAGCATTGCCTTCTAGTTTATTTTTGTTCCTGCCCCTCCTTCTTCGGCGAGTCGAGGCCACGCCGTCCATGGAGCAGCTCTACTCGAGCTAGAATCCAACTCGAATGCAGACAAGGTCTTTCCATGCCTCTCATCCCACTGCATAGGGTATGGCCCGGCGGGCCGGGGAGCCGGACTAGGAGAAATAATTCAGGGCATGTGATTGTGTGGGGCGCAGCGAGAGCGGCGGCGAGGAGAACAGAAAAACAAACCGGCGGGAAAAATGCGACGGCGGCGGCGCGGCGGGCCGGGAAGAAAAGAAAAAGAAAACAACCCTAG